AYRAMWAWKAWKAAMRATWWWAWYKAWYTRAWWTGAMAGTTTTTATCTATTTGTTGATATTTAATAATTAAATCGTTCAATATTAAAAATCATAATCACGATTAATTACCTATTATATTAAGCACTAAGCTGAAAATGTAACACTGAAAGAAATATCGCAGTTAAAATAATAAAAAATCGAGGTTAAATCAACAAAACAATGACAGGGCCAACAAGAAGTTTATTATTATAACAATTCATATTTTGTTGGTATAAAAACATTTTCCCCTGTTAATTTAATAGTTGATTCAACCAACAATTAATTTTGTTGTTTTAAATAATACTTCGTCATATTATATTTTTGTTTATCAATTAAATTATTTTTTAATTTTATCAATAATTTTATAAAAATAAATTTTAGTTTTGTCAAATCAACAAAATATTGTTTCATTAAATTATCAATTATTTAACCATTGATCGAAAATGTATTCATACCTGCATTTAAAGGCGTATTTCTTTCTTTAAGGGGGTGGAGACGGAGAGAGTCATCAATAAATATCACTATACATAAATTAATATATGAAATAATATTAAAAAATTCATATACATGTATGAAAAAACCAATAATTATATTTGTATACTTAATTTAAAAATAACCTATTTATATTGTATATGTTACGGGAAAAATAGACTTTTGGGCAATGTTTAYTTTTCCCGAGCATTATGGTACTGTCCGATAATGATGGGCAATGTAGAAAAAATTAAAGTTAAAGATTTTCTATTTTTAAAATATTTTTTGTTTATTTATTAAACATATAGTGAGAGGTGTAATACCTTATTCCAAACATACACACACACACAAAATTATATTTGTTTGCAAAGCTTAATTAAATAATATTAATTCATTATTTTCAGATATTAATTATTATTTATTAGGTAATTACTAGATAAGTAAATACTGTTCATTTTTAAAAAATAAAAACCTCATGAAATACAATAGATTATAAAAATTATAAAGTATAAACACCATACTCATAGTCTATAAATTAATTTTAGGTTTTTAAAAAACAATGTACGCTAATAAGTTAATAGCTCAAGTTACAATGTCCAATTTGATATGGGCAATGTGTACTTGGATCGGTCAAAGTATAACCCTGCCCGACCAAAATAAGATTTTAATGCATTGCCAAAAAAACGGGGCAAAATAATATAGGTACATAGCCCGGGCAATGTTTACATTGCCCGAAAGTCTACTTTTCCTGTAACATATATATTACAATTTTCAATGAGAGTGATGGGGGTCCATGTAGCAGCATATTTTAACATAAAAAAAAGAATGGCATTTAAATAATAATAAATTATTTTTTATTATATTTTGGAAATTCAAATTATATTAACAATAAAAAACCTAATACACCTATGTCCTATATACCTATCATTATAATTTTGTTTGGTTACTAAACACAAATAAATCTTCAATATTACCATATTTTAATAATTTATACTTTGGCGGACCGATTGATAAATTATCACAGGCCAGGGTTTACCTTTGGATCGTAGTCGCAGGTCAGTCCCCTGATGTGACATAATGCGACACGTTTTCAAAATATCGTCTTTATTTTTTAATAAAATTTTCAATAATTTATAATAATTCTAGTTATACTTGTAATTGTAATTMAATTACAGTGAATAATAATGACAATTATAAATTAATATTTATTGTGTAAATCTGTASCTATTGGATATTTGGATAGTTAATTATTRTATTGATAATTTACCTTACAATAACCACCGATGCAATAAGTGGATTCCTTATCCTTATTTATTTTGCATGTTGTACCATCAGGAAAAGACCAACCCCGACTTTTGGTACCACCTTTTTCTTTATGACACCAAACAGTACACGCATCTTTGGCTAAAATAAATACATAAACATCATTATTTAAATGTAATAAAACATGGACGAATAGTACGGGGTAGTAAATCTAGTAGAAATAGTATTTTTTGTAGTAAATTTGCACATACGATCCGAACTAATTTTTTGATAACCAGTTCCCAAGAGCTCCGCGTCGTATTCTTTAGCTCTTAAACAAATCTCGTTTGCAAAGTCTTTWAGAGTAAGCTGTGGTGCATTTGCACACTAAAAATATTAATAGATTAATTGCTGATCAATTATTTTAAAAGTTTTATTTTAAACACCACTTACTTGTTCTGTTAAACATGACTTATACTTCTGATCACCACCTGAACATATCTTACCGCTGTTTTCTGGCCTAAAAGATAGTAAAATAATATATACTACATATATTATTTTAAAAATAAATTTAAAAAATAAAAGTATTTAATGATAAAATTATACTATGTTATACTTTATTATCTTAATTTCTTAAAATAATATTTACATTTTATGTATAAGCATAATTTAATTTACTGTATTATATATATTTTAAACTTAGGATTGCTTTTGTTTTGACTAATCGTTAATTATGCTAATTTAAGCTACACACAAATAAATCTTTAGGTACATAAGTACGTGAATTGTTTACACAAATGTATTATTAAATGCTAAGAATTGAAATACGAATAACAACAAATTGAAATAGTTATCAAAAGTATAACTGCGCCTCTTTGTTCCTTTTATAAGAATTTCTTTGTTCACATTATTGTTTCAGATATATAGTAATGATCATAACCCTGTATTCCTGAGTGAGAAAACATTTGGGCAGCTTTCCTTTACACAGTTATTGTTTTTGGCACATGCTCGCAATAATTTATGCAGCGTTAACATTAATGTCGCAGTAYATTTTACAAAATGTGAATGTTCATAAACAAAATTAAGAAGAATCTTGTTTGAATAGAGTATTGCTTAGTAAAAAATTTATCGAGAATATTATTAATGGCAGAACTATTCATTTTCCAGTACATTGCATAAACTAAATAAATTCACATAATAGTAATAAATTATGATTTTAAAAATATTTGTATTTACTTAAAAAGTATTAAACTATATTGTTAGTATTWAAGTATTTGAAATATCACTAAATTTACTATTTAGTAGGCTCTAAAATCTAAATAAAATTTACCTGGGATTGTTACACCTTCTTAACGAGGTCATAATGCCCGTACTACCGCTATTCAGATCATTTTTATCGCCCAGCAAACACGATGAAGCACAGTCTGAGTACGGTTGCCAATCACTCCATCCACCATCGATACTTTGATGGGGTGCAAATCCAGCTTGAAGAGCAGACAAGCCCTTATGTACACACCGACCACTTCTACACCACTAAAATTATAATTGATAATTATTTATTACAATATTTAATAATAATCAACCCATCTTATATAATATAGCTATGAATGGGAAAAAATAATAAGAATATGATTAATTTATAAATTAAAACATTATTTTGAATGATTTGAATTTAATTAGTTTCAATTTTTAAGAAGCGGTAAACAAAAGAAATTGTACAATCCTTTTTTTTTTTTAAACTGAGATTTGAGTAATCCAGATACAATAAATTCAAAGATATTTTTATTTTTGATATACATATTATAATCATTGTTCATATTACATTTTGAAAATTATATTCATATGTAAATAAATAAATAATAATAAATGTTTTAAAAAGAATCTACACATGCGTTTGTTGTCTCAAAGGTAGAACACAATAAATATTCGTTCACTAGTTTCAATAGCGTTCTGTTACAGTCAATATTATAGTGAATTGACAACTGATTATTATTATTACTTTCAAATTTTTAGGTTAAGTGATAGTTAGGTTAAGGTTTAGTTGTGATCAAGTGTCGGTTTTCATTTGATATTTTTATTTTCTATCGAGATATGAGCATTTTTTTTTAGGAATATTTCAAATAAAAGCCAACGCTTAACCACCAATAATTTATAGGTACCTTAAAAATTTGATAATAGGTCAATTAACTTTAATATCAAAACTAACAGAACAATATTGAAACTAATGAATAAAAGATTTATATTCTTCGTACTTTTAGGGTAAAACTATTGTACTTGATTTTTTGACACTATACAATATATTAATATATATATATATATATATACTAAAACTAAACATAAAATCTTACTTTATTTGGACCACACAGTGTTCCTTCCAACGCAGGATGTGAAGTCCATGTATATCGGTCTCGTTGACAATGCAAATCACGACAAACCTCACTAATATCTTGACTAGTGGCGTGTATACTTCCTCGGCCATATTTAAGCAAACACTGTTCATGTGCGTCGAACCGCTCGCCAGGTAAACGACCATGTTGCTTATGGTCCATGTATCCAGAAGTACCACTGTCGTCAAATAAGCACCCTGCTTGCGAGCTTCTAAGCACGTATTAARTTATTAAGTACAGAGTAYAAAATTATAACATAACATAAAAACAATAGACTGGAATATAATATTATATTGTTTTTGAAATTTTTAAGGGAAATGGATCACATGAGTAAATTTTTTTGTTCCAAATAATGATTATAATTCACATTAAAAAATTTACWGTGCAAAAACCCAACTTAATAAATACGAATAAATTAATGACCTGTTATGATAAAATTTTCTAAATACTAGGAGGTTTAAATTTTGTCAACAATGTATTGCAATTTCAAGTCATAAACATAACGTATAATTACATAACTTTATCAGTTACCTATTATATAATTACTAGGTACTTGAAAGTTTCACATATGAAAATCAGTTTCCAATACTGGAGTATGCTCTTTAAAAAATAATTTTCTACCTATTATGTTACTTTTTTTGAAAAAATAATGAACTAAAAATGAGATAAAAATGTTTGATTAGCTGATTTGTACAATTTGATAGTTTTAATAATTACAAAACTTTTTAGTTTCAAATTTAACAATTATTCTGTCTAAATTATAAGAAAAAATATTATAGAGAAAATT